ACGACGACGACGACGACGACGACGACGACGACGACGACAACGATGACAACGACGACGAGGACGACCACATCTGAGTGGAATACCGACATCGGCAGGTATCTCGTAATCGACAACATAACCGGGGAAAAGTTCGGCGACAGTTCCTGACGAGTGTATCCGTCGTCGTGCTCGATCCATTAGTGTAATTGCAATTTATTTAGTAATTACTTTAATTAGTGAGCACCCACCCGTGCTTCAAGAGGTTCGCTGGAGTTGCATCAACGGGGAGAGAAACGGGGCGGGACGGTGGAACACAGGATGAGGGAGGAGGGAGGGAGGGAGGGCAGCGGTAGGTAGGGTACTAACGGAATTAATTAATGAATTAGCCTTAAGGGATAAGGCGTAAAAACAAGCGGAGAATTGGGTTGAGGCGGCGCAGACGAGCGCCCGATTAAAATAAGTGGACTAAGTAAGCGAGTAACTAGCTAAGTGACGACTAACTGCCGTAACGTCGGAAAAGAAGAGCAAGGCGGATTCTCCGTGAGAATTAATGGTACCCCATCCCCCTCCCACCCGAAATCCTTTCTTATCCGAGTCGCTTTAATACAACCGGCCGGCCTGATGCAAATTAAACTACCTTCGGAAATCCTTTATCGCATTGCCACGCTTAAGAGACATTTGCGCGCAAATATTCCGAACTAACTCGATCGTTACTATAATCAACCCACGCGATTTTTTTCCAATAACTTTTAACTTTGAAAATGATTGCGTGGAAAGATAAACTCAGACACCCTGTATAATATAAGATAACGATCGAAATTTGTTAATCGAATTCGATTTGAGTGCTGGTGTTTCTATACTATACAAACAGAGATAATGATGGCCATGGTGTTCCGTTTTTTTTTTCAATTAATCCAAAAAATAATCCGTTTAAGTATCAATATTACTTTATAATAATCTTGAGAATTATCGCGTAATTTAATTACGTACTTCAATTTTGCACCATCAATGGTATCTGCTCAGCTGTGAGATAACTTCTGTTTAGTAACTAACAACTTGACACTACCAAGGCTGCCTTGTTCTGTCGCCGCTGGAAGTTATCATGTTTTTTTTCTATAAACCTGGCTCCAGCTACAAATCAGTTTCACGTGACTCGCGCGGTCGGGCCGGCGACACACTCGTGCGGAAACAATGCCGCTAATGGAGAAAAATCGTCCAGGTGTGATAACGCGGTGCCTTCGTATCCGCTAATGTGCTACACGATGTGCTACAACTACCCGCGCAATTAAGCGAAACATGTCGTCGGGATGTTGGAAAAAAAATAAACTGGTGTTGTCATTAAAGAATCTTTTTCGTAGCTAAGCATAACTAAATGTGAAACAAAAAAGAAATATTATATACATTAAATAATGTGACGGAGATATACAGCATAATGAAATGACTTGATTACATGCATGATAACGCATATGAATTTGTAGCGAAAATTTCCGCGCTATCAAGAAAGGCTATCATTGAATTGACGTTCGATCCTACTTGGCTTTCTTCGGCGATTGATCCAACAACAAGTGCACAAAGTGATCCATCGAGGTCTCACGATTGACCTGATTTTCCACAAGATTAATTCGCATGATTCACTTTCGGAATCGTGTCTAGCCTCCTGGCACAGGGGCTTTATTTTTCTGCCCATCCTCTCTGTCAACGTGTAGATATGCGACGATCCATATAACCAGAGGTAGGTCGACGAGAGATTCGACGTGACTGAAAGATCTCTGCGATCCTTCGAATTGGAGGGAATCGAGAGACTGTGAAATTTTCATTCGTGCTGGCAACGCCGGAATGTCGCCGCTGACCGCTCGCTGGGAATTTCGTACTCCGGCCGCCTAATAACTCGAGTAGAAGAGGGATGCTTCTCTGCAGATACGACTGTAACAAGGAATAATTGAATTAGAAGAACAAATGGTCTCTTCCTTTCGCCTACAGATATTTTGTTAATATTTCCACGACGCTGCCACTCAAAAATATTTTATAATCCCGCGTATTCTTATCATAGACAATATAATGCATTTTTTATACTCGCTCCTCAGATTATTTTCAATCAACCATTACGATTGCGCGCTTTCATAAAAAACGAGAGAGAGAGAGAGAGAGAGAGAGAGAGAGAGAGAGAGAGAGAGAAAAGATACGACATTTAATTAATACGCGGGACACACGTAAATTTTATTCCGTCGAGGGTCGAAGCGCAAAAACGAAACGCGGGGGAGTGGAGTTAATTAATTATTCCCTTATTACGCTACACCAGGACGAGGGAGCGCGCGGGGAGTGCGGGAAGAGAACGAGACTGCAGTCGTCTCATTTCTGACTACCTAGCGAAAATTTCGCTAAAGTGCTGCTCATGTGGAAATGACATAATTCGCGTGCGGCAAGGGCAATTGGCAGTAATTAAAGTGGGGCGGTGAGAGAGGGGTAGCCGGAGAGTAGCGGGGCATGAATGAAATTAAGGCGGGTAGCGAAGATGACCGTTTACATGGGTCCACGTCTGCTCGACTACGCTCTCTGTGCCGCGACAATAAAACGAATTTGCATATGGGACAACTCGCCCCCGGACGAATGTCCCGTGTCTGCGTCTCTCGAGCAGAACATTTTCCTCGGATGGACGAACGAAGTCATCGGCGCTCCCAAAAAAGCCATGTATTAAGAATTTATTAACCGCCATCCCAGTGAATCGTAGGTATCTTCCATGTAGGTGCGTAGGACAAAATTGTGCAGCCAAGAAAGCTATTAAAATGTTTTTATGTACATCGTGCTCGAATAAAAGAAATATCGTTCTTTCTTTATACTGAGATTCATGGTTGTCCACTTTATCTAATGTCCACTTGGGCTAAACGAGTTGCTTTTTGAAATAACTTGGATAACACGTTCAGTGTGAAATTTTCGCGCGACAGCAACGGCAATGTTCAGAACGTTTAAGAGATAAAACGGACAATGCCGAAATGTAAAAACATTCGCAAGGAAAACGAATGCTGAAGCGGAATATATCGCAATATTTTTGTGGTGAGCGGACGACGACTCGCGTTAGTGTGCGCGCGTGTTCGCTCGCTCACACTATAGCGTATTTGCGAGATCCGCCGTGCTGATGGACATATAATGCGACGTGTGATTGTAGGCCCGCCAATCGCGGCCGATTGTGCCCCTGAAGGCCCGCTAACTATCTCAAACTAGCCCCATTCAAGCCTCGCGACCTCTCTCTATCCACCTCTATCTGTCTATATCCATCTCTGTAACCCGCCACCTCAGCCACTCTACCCCTTTCGCTCTCTCAACCCCGGGTCTCTTCCGACCATCCCTCCTGGTTGGTCTGTCTCCAAAGTGAACGCGACCGCGCGAGTCTACGTCATGTCTCTGCTCCTCCGGTTTCTCCGCGTTATATGCATACGCATACATATAATATACAAATACATAGATACACTTATATGTAT